GCAACAAGCGGGCTTGCGCCCCGCCCCCCAACCCCGCCCGCCCCATCCCCCTGGCCCGCTGCCCCCGCGGGCAACTTCCGCCCGACATGGCGATTGGCCCGCTGGGCGAGCGGCGCAGCGATGGCCGCCGGCCGAGAGGTCAAGTGGCCGCGCCTGCCAGTCGCCCCAGCAGCTCCGTGGAGCACTGGCTCTGTTGCCCATTGCCCACTGGGGCATTGCCCAAGCGGCCATTGGCGCCGTGGCTTAGGTGCCCAGTTGCCACCCCAGCAGTGGATCGTGCGTCGCGCTGTTCTTGGCCCACTGGCGCAGTGGCCCAACGGCCTACACCCCAGTTCTCAGTCAGAAGAGCGCCCACGCCGGCACAGCGGCGCGATTGCTCAGTGGCGCGGCGCCCGCCAGGTCAGCAGCAGACTGGCACGCTGCGCCGCGCGCTGCTAATGCACTGGGGCGACGAGCGATGGGTCGTGGGAGCTGTGGCTGAATGCGGCAAGGGGCCCTACTGCAGATTCTTCAGCAGTCATGTGGCCTGGCGGCCCAGTGCGCCAGCTGCCCAGTGGGCGCGGGGCTCGTCGGTGCGCGGCGAGCCAGGGGGCCACTTGCCCGGCGGCCTTCGCCCAGGGGAGGGAGCGGGTGGTCGAATTGCGCAGCGGTCAAGCGGCCCGTTGGGCAATTGGTCTGGTGTCCAAGCGGGCCTGACCCAGGAGCAGACTGGCCGAATTCCGCTGGCGCGGTGGCCTCGTCGCCTCGCGGCCCAGAGGCGCAGCGGCGCGCGGGTCCAGCGACCCAGCTGCGCTGCGCTAGTCAGTCCACTTCGCGCGACTTGGCGCCCATGCGACCCAGTGCGCCGACGGCCAAGTGGCCTTGCACATCAGTTTCCCAAGGGGGGCACGGGCGCATCGGCCGAGTGATCCCCAGCGCTCCGCAGCACCAGGAAGACCGTGCGCGACGCTTGCAGGGGCGGGGCCTTGACCGCGGAGGCATAGTAACTTATCGGATGCATCGCGCATGTAGCATGTCGGGGTTGCGGGTCGAAGTCTGGGGAGGGCGGGTGGCGCGCGCGGTCTTGGTTCGAACGTTCTGGCATTGGCGCGAGGGGCCCGTGCGAAACGTCGATTTCTGAGAATGTGTTGAAAAATGTTGGTTGGGTTGGTTTAGCAATTTGGCAGTCTGCGTAATCCCCCCCTCTGGGTGGCGCGCGGATATCGATGGCTCTCTCTAGACCAGACCCCCCGTCGGTACCCGGAGCACATCGCATCAGGCTCCGGGGCCAGGACCTTCGGCCATTGGGAGGGTGCGAAAGGCGCGCAGCTGACCGCGCAGGCTCGGCAACGCCCCAAAATCCTCGTGGCCCTGCGCCACCTGTCCCGCAGGTGCTTTCACCTGCCAGACGTCCGCCGTGCATTGCGTCTCGTACGCAGCGAGTAGTCAGTAGACGACTGGCCGGGCGGCGCCTGCAGCTCGGTCATGCGGTGGCCCCCTCGGAACCCGAGCGACGTCCAAAAGCTACACCTGGACGGCGCCATGCTCGACGCCGCCAGCTCGTCGGCGAGCGGCGGAAGGAAGCGAGCATTCTGCAGCTAATTCTGGGCGAGGAACCGCTGCTAGCAGCAGACGCCGGGCAGGTCCGCGACGGAGCGTTCGATGACTGCGTCGCTGACGTCCCCGATGACACCGCCAGCGTCACCGAGGGCGGTTCGGCATCAGCCCTGTCGATCGTACCAGAAGCGGCCGACAGCGACTTCTGCGGCCACGTCCAGCAGGCGATGTTAACAGCCTGGCAGGAAGTGGGGGGTAGAGGACGTGGCCCAGGACCTGCAGGAACTGGACAGCGCCGACAATCTGCAGCAGATGTTCGCCGCCATCGAGCACGCCGCGGCTGGTCTCGGTCGCGCGCCGGGCGAGCGGCACCATCGCCTTGAGACGCAGCGCCAGCGCCGGAGCGCACGCGCGCAGCGTCACTATAACCTGCGCGGCGCCTCACTGGACGACGACGACGACACCACGCTTGAGGAGGAGGAGGAGGAGGAGGAGGACGAAGGGGGGCAGCGCGTGGAGTTGCACCTCGACCCGGGGGCGCGCGGCGCAATTGAGCTGTGGCGAGATATCGCCCAGCAACTATTTGCTGGCGCTTCCGCGACAGCCGCGCTGAAGGTCTACGCCGCCGTCAAGACCGCGGGAAATCAAGCCCGACGCCGACCCCCTGACCAGAGACGAGGTGTTGAGGCTGGCGAGCTCGCCATCTGTGCCAAGTTCAGATGTTTTGAGAAGCGCCCACTTAAGCGCGACCGAAACGTCTTGGACTCCAGATGCGTTTCTGAGTGAAAGCACCGGAAGGGAACGGGCGGCAAGACTGCCAGGATCACCCGGCGCCGCACGGCGCTGAGAGGCTTTCGCGACACGGGCGCAGGGCCCTCGAGACGTTCGCCGAGGCGGCGAAGCGAGCGCCACAGCGCACGCTGCCCTCAGAGGCGGCGCGTCGCCCAGAGCGGGTGCACATCGCGGTGGGCGTCGACGAGGCGTTTGTCCGAAGCGCGACCTTCGCCGAAATGCAAGGGCAGGGCGAAGCTCCACGCGAGGTGAACTTCACCCTGCCGCCTGGCAGTGCCGCCGCCCTCAGGCAGGCGCCAGGCTGTGAGTCCTTCGACGAGCGGACCGAGTGTCTGCGCTGCATGAAACTGGGCACGGCTGCAAGGCTGCGTCCGGGGCCTTCGACATGAAGATCGCCAGGTTCACGCGCTCGCCCGCGTGCAACACCCAGCCGACACGGTAGGGCCCGGAGCTCGGGGTCAAGCGCGAGGTCAAGCGCAGGCGGCTCGGAGCTAGTGCTCGCGCCGTCCAAGCGCGTTGGCGATCTGGAGATCGCGGGACGCAAAGAGCACGTGGACCGGCTGACCGGCCACACCGAGAGCGGCTTCGGCAAAATGAAGGGTGATTGCGACGACTTAACTAACTGCGGCGCACACCAAGACCGCAGTGCCGATGGAACAGCGACACCCGACTAGGACGAGTACGTCGACGCCCCGATCCTCAGCAGACACGTCGACCTTGTCAAGCGGAAGGCCGACGAGACGGTAGGAGGTCAGCTTTCCGGCCCTTTTGTGTCCCTCCTCGGAGCAGCAGCATGCGCCTTTTTCGCGCAGCACCACGTCGCCGCGCGCGTCGTCGCGCTGCAGACGGCCAAGAACAAACTGCTCATCAGTCACGCGACGCAGCTCATTTTCGCAGATCTGGCCAAGCAGAAGATAAGGCGCGCAAGACCTTCCCCGCGATGGAGTGCGCCCGGCGACCATGTGCACGCAGCGACGGCTCATTCAAACGCGAGGGGGGGGCTGGCTATGGCCTGCGGGGCGCCGTGCACATGCGTCTGGGCAAGTGCCGCAGTAAAGGGAAAGAGGGATGCCACCTGCTCGACGCTGTGAGCCGACCGCGCAAACTTGTCAGTCGATCCTCATTCGGCTCGGCGCTGCTCGCCGCCCGCGAAGCAGCTGACGGAATTCAGGCTTACCTGACCTTCTACGAAATTGTGCGTGGACCTATGTCAGCCGAAGAGATCAGAAGGCTGAGGAAGGAAGGAGGTTATGACCTACCGGCCAAGTTGGCGGTCGACGGCGCGTCCGTGTTCGCTGCCCTGCCAATGCGCCCTGTTCGACCACCGACGGTGGACAGCATGGCCAGGCATCTCTGGTGGCTGTCATAGCAGCTACGCACCAAGCAGCTCAACGACATCTTGCGGTGCGACGCCAGAGACATGTGCGCCGACCCCATGACGAAGGGAAGTACCAGCCGCGACCTCTTTCTGAGCGTGATGGACGGCAAGCGCAGGTACGATCGCCTGGCAGCCAAACTGAGCGAGAAGAAATGGAAGAAAACCGTACCCCGTTCACAACATAACAACCTTGCCAACAAGGAGAGGAACGACGCTGCTGGTTAGGCCATCTGGCGTCGCGTCTCTCGGACTATGTTCACGAATGCGACGTCCGACTGGCCTCGTTTGACAGATACGACGAAGGACGAGGGGCGTGGCAGAGTGGTGACAGTTGAGGATGCCAGTCAGTGCTGTTTCCGTCCACTATGTGGTCGGAGCGGTAACGTTCCACGAGGGCTATGCTTCAGTCGGCGTTTTGCCGCGAAGCTTCCTAGACTTCGCCGCTGCCTAGTACAACGGACTTCTTAGCTTATAAAGCAATCCGTTGTGCTTCGGGTATTTGTCATGGTGAAGCTAGGACAGCCACGGGGGCACGACAGACCCGCTTGAACACCATATTCGAGCGGCAGATAAGCAGTTCATGTAGGGACTGTAGCAGGACAGAGGCTCCATGCAGTATTTTTTTTTGCAAGATGCGTGGGGAGTGAGCTCTACGGCCATTGGCTGAAGGCTAGCCTCCCGCGCCCGCTCTTAAACTCGCTCGGATACACTTTCAGGTTTACGCTGAAAACGAACCTTCCGCTCATCGCTTTACACTTGTAGTCTCCTCTTCCTCCTCCTCCTTTTCCTCCTCCCTCCTCCTCTTCCTTTTCCCCTCTCCTCCTCCTCCGTCCGCCCACCCCCGCGCCCACCTCCACTGTCCATGCTTCTCCTCATTCCTCCGCCCGTCCCCCTCCCTTGCCTCGGCCGCCCCTCCCGCCCATTTCCGCTCCCACCTCCGTCCACCCTCCTCCCTCCTTTCTGCTCTCCCTCACCCCGATCCCTTCCCGTCCGCCCTCTTCCTCCGCAGGGGTCCTGGAAAGCTCTCGCCATTCTCGAGCTCTTCGGGGTCCCGGGGCCCTCCCCAGAAACCCCTGGATGAAGATCGGGTCCGGCAGCAGGTGGAGGGCGAGGATTAAAAGGAGGAGGAGGAGGAAGAGAAGGAGGAGGAGGAGGAGGAGGAGGAGGAGGAGGAGGAGGAGGAGGAGACGGAGCGGGCCAATAACACGGGGAGGAGGAGGACGACGCGAAGGATGTGGAGAAGGAGGAGAAGATGAAGGGTGCGTCGGTGTCCACATTTCTTTCGTGGGCGAAGGCGTCACCAACATCTCGGCCAGCGTTCGCCGCAGCGCCCGGCACTTCCGAGAGCACGGGATTCGTGGGCTCTGCTCCCACTTGGAGGACAACTTCCTTGAGGATCTGGACGACGTCGAGGGCACGTCTAAGCTGATTCCTCTTCACGTGCGGATGTGTGTGCACAGCGGTAGGAACATCCTCTCCAGCAAGGGCCATCCCTGCGGGACAAGGGTGAAGGTCGCCGTCGGGGACGGTGCCAATGGCAAGTTCTAGTAGGTCCTGATCCCTGGACGTCCCATGAGTTCCCAAGAGGCCCCCAGAGACTCCCTGAGGCCCGACAAGGGCCATAGGGTGCCCAAACATTTTGCTTACTGCTTGAAAGCGTGCGCAAAATGTCTTTCCTTGATCCTCGAGGGAACACTTTGCAAAGGTGGCTATCGGAGAGAGTGCCAACGCCATCGGAGGAACGCTAACCGCTAACCCGTGAGAATAAACACTAGGGGATAATAAAGTTCGGGGTTCAGGGGGAGATAATCAAAGTAGCCCAACAGACCTCAGCATAATCTCGAAGTAAGAGATGATCAAGAGAAGCCAAGCCGAGCACGTTTTGAGACATCCTTGGCGTTTAGTCTCCATAGAAATATCTTCAACAATGGCTTATCTCGCTGGAGACATCCTCAACAAATCCCTTGTTTCGCTTGAGACATCCACAAACTATTGCTTATTTCGCTTGAGACACCGTCAAAGTATTGCTTATTTCGCTTGAGACATCCACGAAATAATTGTGTTTCTCGCTTGAAACATCCTCAAACAATTGCTGATTTCGCCTGAAACATCCTGAAACTATTGCGTAATTCGCTTGAGACATCCACAAATTATTGCTTATTTCGATTGAGACACCCTCAAACTATTGTTTATTTCGCTTGAGACATCCTCGAAATGATTGTGTTTTTCGCTTGAAACATCTTCAAACTATTGCTGCTTTCGCCTGAAACATCCTGAAACTATTGCGTAATTCGCTTGAGACATCCACAAACTATTGCTTATTTCGCTTGAGACACCCTCAAACTATTGCGTATTTCGCTTGAGACATCCACAAACTATTGCTTATTTCGCTTGAGACACCCTCAAACTATTGTTTATTTCGCTTGAGACATCCTCGAACTGATTGTGTTTTTCGCTTGAAGCATCTTCAAACTATTGCTGATTTCGCCTGAAAGATCTTGAAACTATTGCGTAATTGCTTGAGACATCCACGAATTATTGCTTATTTCGCTTGAGACACCCTCAAACTATTGTTTATTTCGCTTGAGACATCCTCATACTATTGCTTATTTCGTTGGAGACACCCTCAAACTATTGTTTATTTCGCTTGAGACATCCTCGAAACTATTGCGTATTTCGCGCGAGACATCCTCATACTATTGCTTATTTCGCTTGAGACATCCTCAAACTATTGCTTATTTCGCTTGAGACATCCTCGAAAAAATTGCGTGCTTCGCTTGAGACACCCTCAAACTATTGCTTATTTCGCTGGAGACATCGTCCAACTATTGCTTGAGACATCTTCAAACTATTGCGTATTTCGCTTGAGACACCTTCAAACTATTGCATCTTTCGCTTGAGACACCCTCAAACTAACTTGCTTATTTCGCTTGAGACATCCTCGAACTAATGGTGTTTCGCGTGAGACATCCTCAAACTATTGCTTATTTCGCTGGAGACATCTTTAAACTATTGCTTGAGACATCCTGAAACTATTGCGTATTTCGCTTGAGGTATCCTCAAACTATGGCTTATTTCGCTTGGGACATCCTGGAACTATTGCGTATTTCGATTGAGACATCCTCGAAATAATTGTGTGTTTCGCTTGAGGCTTCCTCGAACATATGCTTTTTTCGCTTGGGTATTGTTTATAGTTCTCGAGGGCGCATGCTCGCGGTTAAAGCTTCATGCACGCGAGCTCGAGGTCCTTGGCTGCCCTCGACAAAAAACCTTTGTGGCGCACTTGCTCGAAGTGCTCGCCCATACAGGCTCGGCAGCCTTTACTGCCATCCTTGAGCTGCAAGCATTTCTTGCACTCCTTGGCTGCTTGCAGTGCTGCCTCGAGGTTGGCGTGCTTGGGCTCGGGCACGAACGGATCCGGGGCCTTGCCCTTGGCCTTGCCCTTGGGCTTGGCGTCGCTCGCGTTCTTCAGCTTCTCGATCCACTCGTTACCTCGGGCGCAGATGTCGCTGATGCTGCTTGGCGGCTGGCGGCCCTCGCCGCGGAGCTCGCGCAGGGCGCGCTCGAACCACCTCGTCACCCACAATCCGCAGGACCACACATCCACTTGGCATCTCGAGTTGCTCGGAGGGGGGCACTCCACCTCAGGCCCAAAGAGCTTGCGCAGGATTATCGTGGCCGCCTCCTTGGCGGACTTGGACGGCACCTTGAGAGAGTCTCGGTACTCGATGGCCACGTCCTGGAATTCCTCCATGGTCACCTTGAGGTACGTGTAGTGCATCGGGTTGTCGGACCCGACGCAGATGAGCAGAACCTTGGCGTTCTCGATCCTCTCGCGCCAGGCCTTCTGCTCCTCTTGCGCCTCGGCAGTGGCCGCGTCGTCGCCATGGTCTTCTCGAGCCCAGAGAACAGCAATCGTCGGCTCGATTAGCTCGACGCCTGGCGGCTGGCCAACTCGTTCCGCGATCTCGCCAATGAAAGCCTTCATCGTGCCGGGCTCGAGGGTCCTGTTCTTCTCGACGAACTCGCAGTTGGTGATGGCTAGGTGCTTGGCCAGCTCGGTGCGCCTGGCCTTTCTCAGGGTTCGGTAATCCATCTTGGCAGGCTTGGCCTTCGCCCACTCCTCCTCGACCACGACCTCCCAGGCTCGAGGACCGACGGATGGGGGCGAACTCCGCTCGGTTTCCGCTGCCCTTCCGCTCGGCTTCCGCGCGAGTTCCCTTCCGCTCGGTTTCTGCGCCAACTTCCGCTCGGCTTCCGCTGGCCCTTCTGCTCGGCTTCCGCTCGCGCCCCATTGGCCCTCGAGCCTGGCTGGGGCGGATCTGGAAGATCGCCGACGTCTCGACCTCGAGCACTCGGAACCGGTACTCGCCCTCGGTGTCCATGACGCTCCAGACGTCTTGGATTCTCCCGCGCCTCCCCTCGTGGACGCACTCCTCGTTGACGCGGATGCTGTCGCCGTGCCAGGGCGAGCCCTTGCACTCCTTGAGGCCCGCTTGGCCTCTCTTCTTGTCCTAGGCGCTCTGGTTCCGCTTGGCCTTCCCCTTCTGCTTGAACTTCTCCGCGACGCTCCCCATCGGCTTGGGGGCTCGCCCCGACAGCTTCGCCTTGGCGATGCCTCGGCTCTTGCTGTCGAGGGCGTCTCGGCCATCCTGGTTGCGCTTCGCCTTGTTCCACTTGGCCGCTAGCTTGCCCACGCACTGGCTTCGGAACTTGCTCGCCCACTTGTTCTTGCGGCGGCGGCTGTTTCGCAGCGAGCGCGCTCGGCCCGTGAGGGCGTGCGGGAACAGGATCTCCTGGATGCGCTCCTCGGGCGGCCTGAGCATGTCTCGCTGCTCGTCTGTGAGCTCGAAGTGTAGCTCTGCAAGCTCGAGGAGGCAAGGGTTCTCGTCGTCCTCGTAGTCCTTCGGCATGTCCTCGACTCGGAAGCACTCGCCGTCCAGTATGCTCCAATCGGGAATCGGGGGGGCGTTCTCGGGCCAGCTCGCAACCGCGTCGAGTCTCTCCTTGGCCAGTCTCGGCTCGATGCCTCGGCCAGGCTCGGTGGAGTAGCTCCACGGCTCCTCGCCTGTGACGACCTTCAGCTCGTTCTGCTCGGTCGGCCTCGCCGCGGCCCCCCCCTCCTCCTTCTCCTCCTCCTTGTCCTCTGAGATATCCTCGGTTACTTGTTTTGTTTGAGACATCCCCGACAAATCACTCGTTTCGCTTGAGACATCCTTGTCGAACTCTCGGTTCGCTTGAGACATCCTCGAGCAATTGCTGTTTTCGCTTGAGACATCCTTAAGAAACGCATCGTTTCGCTTCAGACATCCTTCAGTATAACGCTTGTTTCGCTTGGGGCATTCTCGAGTATATGCTTGTTTCGCTTGAGACATCCTCGGAATAGCTCATCCGCCTCGGTGCCCCTGGATAATCAACCGCGGCGATAATAAAGTTCAGGCGGGCGGAGGAATGGAGGAAGCTATTTGAAAAAGAAATTGAAAAAAAAAAAAATGATAAAATAAATGAGAGAGAGGAGAAGGAGAAAGAAAACGTCGAGTTTCAAATCTATCATATTTTATTTACAAGCGCTTCATGGAAAGTGTTTTTTTTCAAGTGCTCGTGTAGGGTAGCTCATGTGCCTCACTTTCCATGGATAATCAACCCCAGGGATGAAAAAGTTCCGGGACGCGTGGAGAGGGACAGGAAGATAAATTAAACAAAAACCAGGTAATAAATAAATAAATTGAAAAGAAAGGATGGAGGAAAATACAAACATCAAATCTATTAGATTTTATTTACAAGCGCTTTATGAAAATTGTTTTTTTTAAGTGCTCGTGCAGGGTAGCCCATGCGCCTCACTTTCCATGGATAATCAAACCCAGGGATAAAAAAGTTCACGGGCGCGCGGAGAGGGAGAGAGCGAGAGAGAGAGAGAGAGAGAGAGAGAGAGAGAGAGAGAGAGAGAGAGAGAGAGAGAGAGAGAGAGAGAGAGAGAGAGAGAGAGAGAGAGAGAGAGAGAGAGAGAGAGAGAGAGAGAGAGAAACACAGAAAGAGATGAGGAAACAACCAGAAAAAGAAATTGAGAGTAATAAATAGAGATTGCTGAGACACCCTCATACGGTTGCTTATTTCGCTGGAGACATCCTCAAATTATTGCTTGAGACATCCTCAAACTATTGCGTTTTTCGCTTGAGAATCTTCAAACTATTGCATATTTCGCTTGAGACACCCTCAAACTATTGCTTATTTCGCTTGAGAGATCCTCGAACTAAGTATGTTTCGCGTGAGACATCCTCAAAGTATTGCTTATTTCGCTGGAGGGATCCTCAAACTATTGCTTGAGACATCCTAAAACTATCGCTATTTCGCTTGAAATATCCTCACCTTATTGCTTATTTCATGTGAGACATCTTCAAACTACTATCTATTTCGCTTGAGACATCCTCTAATTATTGCTTATTTCGCTTGAGACAACATCGAAGAAATGCTTGGGGTCATCTTGGGATCCTTCTCGGCAATCCTCGAAGGGT